AGGGCAGTTTCCTGCCCAGCCCTGTACTGGAGTCCAGAGGTGTTGAACTGGGAGGTGGGTCTCATCAGCTCTGTCCTGAGCTCTGTTCTGAGAACCAGGGGGAGGGAAGATAGCCCGGGAAAGGATGGGCACAGACCTCGCCCTTGAGCAACTCCTAGGCTTCTGAGAGGCAGCATTCATTCATTCAACAGCCATTGACGGAGCACCTACTATGTGCCAGACTCTGTTCTCCACACCAGTGCAAAAAGGTGACCGAGACCTTTGTTAGGAAGGCAGGCGAGTGAATGTGCAGCCTGATGACGCAGATGCGGGGGGGTGGGGTGGACATGGGGGGCGTGGGTATCAGGGACAGGGACCCAGATTAGGCAATAGGGAGACTTCCTGGAGGAAGAGCCCTCGGAGCTAAAGCTTAAACCTGAAAGATGAGGAGTTAGCCAGAGGGAAGGGGGTGTTTAAGTAGAGGTGCTGTATCACCTGTGACCAGAACAGCCCTTGGCACACAGTAGGTGCTCAGGAAATGTTGGCTGAATGAAAGAAAAGGGATTGGCAAGAGCTCGGCTCTTTGGGCTCTTTGAAGAAAGTCTGGTGGAGCTTGGAGAGAGACGTGGCAGGAGAGCTGGGTGGGGCCAGATCATGACAAGGGGACCCTTCTGGGAAGAGTGACCACCTTGCTCCTGTTTGCCTGGGACTTCCTGGTTTTAAGACTGAAAGTCCCCCTGCCTGGAAACCCGAGTCCTGGGCGCACTGGGTGGGTGGGTGTCCGGAAGCGGCTTTACCTCACCAGGTTAGGGTTCTCTCCTGTGGCTTTGAGCAGGGACTGACGCAGTGGCGAGAGCACTCGCCTCGCACAGTGTGGCTGAGCCTGCTGGGTGTCCCCCAGCTTCCATTCTCCTCTTCTGCAGAAGTAGAAATTTGAATACGCACATCCATTTCCCAGTCTCTCTTGCAAGTGACCGTGGCCACGAAACCAAGTTCTGGACAGTGGGAGGTGAGTCTAACTGATACCGTGCTCCCCATTTGTGGGTTCAGGCTCTGATGAAAACAAAAATATGAGGAAGATTTAAGAAGCTCTACAGGCTCAGACCTGCCCCAGACCTTTTGAATAAGAATCTCAGGGCAAGGGAAATGGGTTGTTATAAAAAGATTTCAGGCAATAGCGGTTCCACAGGGGACTGCCTGGCGTCCATTCCTGGCTCCAGCTGTCTGACCTTGTGCAAGTAACTTAACCTCTCTGTGCCTCAGTTTCTTTATCTATAAAAAGTGTGTTAATTGTACTTTTTTGATGGGATTATTTTGAAGATTAATGTGCTCAGAGCAGTACCTGGCATATAAATGCTTAATTTAACAAATGTGCTCAATAAATGTTGCAAAATGGTATCATCTTGTAAGACTATAATGTATTACAACCAGATATTGACATTGATAGAATTAACATATAGAACATTTCTGTCACCCCAGGTTACCTCATGCTGTCCTTGTACAGAAAACCTGGGTCCCTCCTGTGACACTCTCTAACCCCTGTCAACCACTAATCTGTTCTCTATATTTCAAGAATTTTGTATAAATGGAATCATTTCAAGAATGGTATATAAATGGAATAATACAGTATGGAAGTTTTTAGGATTGGCTTTTTTTCACTCAGTATAATTCTCTAGAGATTCATCCAGGTCTTTGCAGGCATTGATATTTTAAGTTTGCTCCTTTTTGTTGTTGAGTAGTACTTCATGGTGTGGATGTACCATAGTTTCTCATCCATTGAATGGCATCTGGGTTATTTGTGATTTTTGACTATTACAAATAAAGCTGCTGGCTGGGTGCGGTGGCTCACGCCTGTAATCCTAGCACTCTGGGAGGCTGAGGTGGGAGGATCGCTTGTGGTCAGGAGTTCAAGACCAGCCTGAGCAAGAGTGAGACCTAGGCTCTACTAAAAATAGAAAATATTAGCCGGTCAACTAAAAATAGAAACAAAAAATTAGCTGTGTGTGGTGACTTGCACCTGTAGTCCCAGCTACTTGGGAGGCTGAGGCAGGAGGATTGCTTGAGCCCAGGAGTTTGAGGTTGCTGTGAGCAACGCTGACACCATGGCACTCTAGCTGGGGCAACAGAGTAAGACTCTGTCTCAAAAGAAACAAAACAAAACAAACAAACAAACAAAACCAAAAAAACAAATAAAGCTGCTATAAACATTTCATATAAGCTTTTGTGTGAACATGAGATATATTTCTCTGGGATAAATGCTCAGGTGTGTAATTGCTAGGATGTATGGTAGTTGCCTGTTCAAATTTTTAAAAACTGCCAAACTGTCTTCCACAGTAGCTGTACCATTTTATATTCCCACTAGTCATGTGTGAGTCATCCAGTTTCTCTGCATCCTTGCCAGCATTTGGTGTTGTCACTAAGTTTCATTCAAGCTATCTGATAGGTATGTAGACATATCTCATTGTGGTTTAAATTTGCATTTCCCTGATGCTGAATATCATTTCATGTGCTTTTTACCAATTGCACATCCTATTCAGTGAGATGTCTTGTCATGTCTTTGGCCCATTTTCTAATGGGCTTGCTTATTCTTTTATTTTTGAATTTTGACAGTTTGTTAAATATTCTAGATACTAGTTCTTTGTTGGGTGTGGTTTGTAAGTAATTTTTCCCAGTCTGTAGTTTGTCTTTTCATCCTGCTTAACAAGGTCTTTTGCAGAAAAGAAATTTTAATTTTGATGAAGTCTAACTTACTGATTTTTCCTTGTATAGATCATGCTTTTGATGTTAAATCTAAAAGCTATTTATCTATACCTTTGATCTTGAAGATTTTCTCCTATTGTTTTTCTGAAAGTTTTAGCTTTACATTTGTCTGTAACCTATTTGGAGTCAATTTTTGATTAATTCTTGGCCTTTTGGCTAAGAGCAAGTGTGGAGTTAATTTTATATAAAGTGTAAGACTTAGATCAAAATTTTTGCTTGTTTTTTTGTTTCACATATGAGTATAGAATTGCTTTAGCATCATTTGTTAAAAAGGCTATGTTTCTTTTACCCAGTTATTTTTGACCCTGTGTTAAAAATTAGTTGATGTCCAATTTATCTATGTTTCTTATTGTATTTGTTTGTGATTTTTGTTTCTGTTATGAGTTGAATTGTGTCCTCCAAGAAAAGATATGTTAAAGTCCCAACTCCAAATGTTACCTTATTTGCAAATAATATGTTTTTAAAAAATTTTCTTTTGAGATTTCCTCTTCAACCTATAAAAATATGAGCTAGTGCATGCAGGCTTTGAGAAAGATTTCTCCAGGCAAAGATTAGGTTAGAAAGAAGTCTAGTTACTTTTTCCTGGGCATAAAAACAGCCAGCACAAAAGTGAAGGAGGTAGAGAATGTTGGCAGAAAGAACCAGGTATTCTGGCTTTTTATTTAGAAGATATAGAGGTTTATGGCTGTAGCCAAATTAACAGGGTGCTGCAAACTGCTACATTTGCATCTTCTCTCTTCTTAGCAGCATGCTGGTAACAGAAACCCAAACCATGGCAGGATGTCAAAGTGCAAGAGTTTGATGCAAAAAGGCTAATAAGATTGCCAAGTGCTATTGCCTTTAGTGAAATTGAGGACATGTAAGAAAATGATTATTCTTAACTAGAAAGTAGCTATTTAAAAAAATTTTTTTTTTATTTCAGCATATTATGGGGGTACAGATTTTAAGGTTTCAATAAATGCCCATTTCCCCCCTCCCCCCACAAGTCTGAATCTCCAGCATGACCATCCCCCAGATCGTGCACATCTCACTCATTATGTATATATATATACCCACCCCCCTCCCACCTAGAAAGTAGCTATTTTTTATTAAAAAAAAAGAAGGGGAGGTTGAATTTGTCAGTGGCATACCATAACTTCTGTACAGAATTAGAAAAGAGGGATGGGCAAACTGTTCAAGCATTCCAACTAGTGAAACGATTGCATTTTTATGGAACAAACAAACAGAAGTTTGTTAAATGAATGGGTGAATGAATGAATGAGTAGATGACTAGCTGGCTGGACAAATGAATCAGGCCTGCATAGTTCTGAGTGTGGAGTCAGAAGACCAGCCAAGGGAGTCTTCAAGGCTAGGGCACGTGTTTTTTAGGGCATTTTCATTCTCAGGGATTCACACAAAGAAAGGACTCATTAAATGTTCACTAACGGAATGGCATTCCTCAGCTATCTGAGCCTCGGTTTCCCCATTAGTGAAGCACGGATCATGATCACTCCTCTCCAGGCAGAGTAGCTTCTGTGAGGAGCTCTTTCAGCGCTGTAAAGTGCTGCCCCAGTGCCAGACATTGTAAACAGTGGCAATGACCACTATTTCACGGTCAAGAGTGGGGGCAGCGGGATGGCACAGGAACAAAGAAGTGTGTACCAGTGAAGGTGAGCAGGGCGGCCTGGCTGGCACAGAGGAGCAGGGCACTTGTCTGGAAGGGCACAGCAGAGGCTGGCCCTGGGTTTCCAGTGGCTCCTCTCCCATGGCTCTGGCCAGACATGGGAAGTGTCTGCAGGAGCCCTGGGAAGCCAGGCGGCGGAGTCTCTCCCTAACCACATGAAAGCAGCTCAGACAGGGTCCCTGAAACAGCTCATCTGATGCCAGCATGATTGTGAGCTTTCTCACAGATGACACTGTCAATTAGAGGTCTCCCCTCAGCACCCACCCCTGCCATCCCAGCGCCCACCACTCCCTGGGTAAGGGCAATTGAGGCTGTGACAAACCTCCCAGCCAAGATCTTTCTAGGGATAATTCGGCCAGGCTAATTACCCTATGTTAATTAGATAAGACTCAAATTACGTGAGCAAGACTTTCAAGCCCACCACTTTGGGAGTTTTCAAGTTATTTACCTGGTGTCTGATTTTGCTGGGAGAAAATGATTTCTTGCTTCCAGGCAAACTGAACCCACAAATCAGGGCAGTGGCTCCCTGCTGAGCCCTATAAAGGGGGCGCCCACACTCACAGGCTGGTGACCGGAGTCTTACCTAAGGGTTAGCGTCTTATCCCAGCTCTCTGGCCTCCCCAACATGAGCCGCCAATTCAACTGCAAGTCAGGAGCTGCCACCAAGGGGGGCTTCAGCGGCTGCTCCGCGGTGCTCTCAGGGGGCAGCTCGACCTCTTACCGGGCAGGGGGCAAAGGGCTCGGCGGGGGCTTCAGCAGTCGGAGCCTCTTCAGCCTGGGGGGCGCCCGGAGCATCTCCTTCAACGTGGCCAGTGGCAGTGGGCGCACAGGCGGCTATGGGTTTGGCCGGGTCCGGGCCAGTGGCTTTGCTGGCAGCATGTTTGGCAGTGCAGCCCTGGGGCCCGCGTGTCCATCCGTGTGTCCTCCAGGGGGCATCCACCAGGTCACTGTCAACAAGAATCTCCTAGCCCCCCTCAACGTGGAGCTGGACCCCGAGATCCAGAAAGTGCGCACGCAGGAGCGGGAGCAGATCAAGGCTCTGAACAACAAGTTCGCCTCCTTCATCGACAAGGTGGGACTTTCTAGAGAGAGCCGAGCACAGGGCCCTGTCTGGAGCAGAGGAAGGCAGGACACATTCCCAGGATGCAGGCACAGCCCAGGACAGGGCAGTGGGGACTGTACAAAGCCTGAGGGATCAGACCTGGGCATGGGGTTGAGAGAAGTGAGAACTAGAAAGCGTAGTCTGGGAAGGTGTCCAGGAGACACAGAAAGTGGCCTCCGGGTTGAGAAGTAGGAGAGTGATGGCCTGTGAAGCCAGGCAAAGGAGAGGCCTGGGAGCTGTGGGACCCAGCTCCTCCGCTCACAGACCCTGCCAGCTCAGATTCCCTGTGCGACACGCCCAACCTGTATGGCGAGGCAGGCGGTAGTCACAGTGCCCTAGAGCAGTGGTTCTCAGCAGTGGTCCCCGAGCCAGCGGCACAGCATCACCTGGACACTTGCAGGAAAGCACATTTCCAGGCTCTACCCTGGAGCGACTGAACCAGAGACTGGGGTGGAGCCCGGCAATCTGGGTTTAACAAGCCCTCCAGGTGATGCTCAAGTTTGGGAACCACTGAGGAACAAAGTGCAGGAGGGGTTTGGGAGGTAGAGACTTCCTGAGCTTAGGGGAGCAGGGGAAGCTCCCCAGGAGTGACAGTGAGGCAGGTGGTGACACATGAGTAGGACTTTTCTGGAGGGAGGTGGGAAAGGGCCATCCAAGGCAAGAGATCATGTGCCGCATGCAGGTACTTGTCCAGGGCATGGGAGACCTCAGGTTTGCACAGCACTGGTGAGTGGAGGAGGGGCAGGCGGGCTGGGCATGTTGTTAAGAACACAGTGGGAATGTGGACTTGACTCTGTATGTAGGTGATGTGGAACCATCTGAGGGTTTTAAGCAAGGGAAAGATATGATATTTGTAGATTGCAACTTGAGAATGCTCGTGCTGCCCCTGGGGAAATGTTCTGATTGTGATAACGGAGATGCGGACACAAAGCAACATAGAAGGGCTGTTGACCCCAGATCAGCTGAGCGCCTGCTGCAGTAGGGCTAGGAGAACTGCACACTAGGAGGCAGAGTAGCAGGGCACAGGCAGGCCACCAGGCCCCGAGCAGAGGGCTCAGGGGCGTGAAGGCCAGCACAGGCCGGCTTCAGTGTCTAAGGACGCACCTTGGAGAGCCAGCCCAGGCTGAACACAGACATCGGTCCAGTCAGGTTGAGATAAGGGCAGGTGAGACAGGAGATCTCTGACAGATGGAGAAGGAGAAGAGTTGGGGCTCTCCTGATCTGAGGGGCTGCCCCAGAGTGAGAACCATGGTCAGACCAAGGGCCCTCAGGGCAGTGAGGCGCGAGTGGCATGTTTTAATGGCCCAGGCTCACCTTTTAAGCTAACGTGGAATAAGAAAGCAGAGCTCCTGTGCAGGAAAGGAAACCTCACGTCCTCTCTCCTCACTGACTGACTGTGGCGTGGGCTCCAGGTGCGGTTCCTGGAGCAGCAGAACCAGGTGCTGGAGACCAAGTGGGAGCTGCTGCAGCAGCTGGACCTGAACAACTGCAAGAACAACCTGGAGCCCATCCTCGAGGGCTACATCAGCAACCTGCGCAAGCAGCTGGAGACGCTGTCTGCGGACAGGGTGAGGCTGGACTCGGAGCTGAGGAGCGTGCGGGACGTGGTGGAGGACTACAAGAAGAGGTGAGCAGGGATGCTGCACCAGCCCTGATGGGGCTGGGCTTTCCCAGTAAGGACCAGGACGTTTTCCTCTGGCCTTGGGGGGACGGAGCTCACCTGCCCAAGCAAGATGGGAACAATTTATGGGCAACCAGGTGGGCTGTACAGTAGACAGTTGGCCTCTTGGGCAGTGTCAGGGCTGTCCTGGCAGGTGGCCCTCTCCTTGGCATACTCCTTTCTGCTCCCCACTTGAGAGAGCCTGTGTGTATGTGCCACTGCTTCTGGGTCCCCGAGCCCACCTGGTGTCCCCCAGCAGGGCAGGAGCTGGAAGTTCCTGGTGGGTGTTTTTTCTCACTTCCCTCAGGTCCTGGACCCTTGGGCCATGCTCCTTCTTCCTGCCCTGGGGAAAGTTATAGTTCCTTGGAACTCCTGCCTCAGGGAGGAGGGGAGTTTGGGTAGGGCTGTCAGGCAGCAGGAGTGACACAGGATTGTGGCTGAAAAGGGCCTCTGGCATCATGTTCCTGTGATTTGGATGCTGAGTGGGAGGAGGAAAAACCTACTCACTCCCCAGGCATCAGAGGAAAGCAGACCTCAAACTATTTAGCCACCAGGCTTGGGAGGTAGTTACATACAACCCTGCCCATCACTCTGGCCAAATAGTCCTAGCCAGTTGAGACAGACTTGCAAAGATATAGAATAGTATCTGTTAAAGGACACATAATATGGGCATCTCTCTTCCCATTTCACAGTAAGAACACACACATGCATAGAATCTCACACAGACTACACACACAGATACACACCGGCTCATAGTGGTGCTTGTTTTGCAGATATGAAGAGGAAATAAACAAGCGCACGACGGCTGAGAATGAATTCGTGGTGCTTAAGAAGGTGGGGAGAAGGCATGGTCTCAGCTCCCCAGCAGTGGGTGTTGGGGTGAGAGCAGAGGGGAGACACTGAGGTCTGTGTCCCCCAGAAAGGTCTGGAGCTAAAGTGCAGGAGGAGGAGGTGCAGGGCTTGCTGCTTTGGACACCTGGTATTGGTCTAGCACATGGCACTTGGTCAGCTCCCTACTTTTTGTAGGGACATGCAGCAGACAGGAGCCCAGACGTGGAGAATCAGTTTCTGGCTCATGTCCATTTGGCTGGGAACAGGACATGCTTTGGGAGGCTGTAGGTTTACCTTCCAACTCTGCTCAGCTCTAGCAAATCCCTGTGGCTGCCCTTGGCTCACTCTGACTGGCTGGGTGGGGGACAGGGCTCCCACACTTTGAGAAATAGAGGCAGAAGGAGTTCCAGAGGCACGAGGAACTCGCCCACCAGTGAGCATGGACAGCGAGTCCAGCTGGAAGTCAGGGTCCTGCCCCCTGGGTCTTGAGGGCATTCTCTGGGGCAGCTGGCTACAGGGCTGGGTGCCAGGGTGTCAGTTCATAGGGGAGCCTGCCTGGGCTTGAAGAAAGGTGACAGCAGGAGGTCTCTGGATTCTCCCCAGGATGTGGATGCAGCTTACATGAGCAAGGTGGAGCTGCAGGCCAAGGTGGATGCCCTGGACAGAGAGATCAAGTTCTTCAAGTGCCTGTACGAGGGGGTAAGGCTCCCTTCACCCCACCTCCAGCTCTGTCCTCTGGGAGGACAGATGTGTGATTAGCAGTTACTTACTTATCAGCAACTCTTACAGCCCAAGGGATCTCTAGCATTTGGATGCTGGGATCTTTGTAGATCAAAGGTGGGAGTGACAATTTATCCTGATGCCCTATCTGTCCCTGCTGGCCCTATGAATGTCCTGCTGTCACATCCTTCAGGAAGCCATGGGTCCTGAAGGGGTTCCCATTGAACTTTGGCCAGGCATATTCTCATTCTTCCTGTCTTCTCTCGGCTGCTGGGGATGTTTTCTGGGGTCTCGGGCAGGAATCCCCAGGATGGAGGTGAGGGGTCCTCACACCCTTTCCTCCTCTATGCACACTTGGCTTTAAGCCTTTGCCTGTTGGCCAAGCATCCTTGGGCTCTTGTGTCCTTAGTGTCCCTTGTGTGGTGGCCAGGCTGTTTCCCTCCGTCTTCCCCACTCCTGACTAAGATCACAGGCAGATGGGATGTTTTCTTCTTTGGCTGCTTCAAACCCATCCAGCAGCTTTTAGATGTGAGTGGTGAGCTCCATTCTCACAAGCTTCAGGGAATGCAGCTAACATCTATTTGGAATGGTCTGGGGCCATGCTGCTGGGGCAGGATCATCACCTTGGCACCTTCATCCTTGTTTCCCCTGCAGGAGATTGCTCAGATCCAGTCCCACATCAGTGACACGTCCGTCATCCTGTCCATGGACAACAACCGCAACCTGGACCTGGACAGCATCATCGCCGAGGTGCGCGCCCAGTACGAGGACATTGCCCTGAAGAGCAAGGCCGAGGCCGAGGCGCTGTACCAGACCAAGGTGAGCTGGCACCGCCCCGGTCACGTGTGCAGGGGCCTCTGGTCCACCTCTCTTTTGTCTGCCTCATGACCCCCGTGATGAGCACACCGGATGCTGGGGCAGCCTGGAAGGAGAATGTGTTGGTCCGTTTTACATTGCTGTCAAGGAATGCCAGAGACTGGGAAATTTATAGGGAAGAAGTGATTTATTTGGCTCATGGCTCTGCAGACTGTACAAGGAGCATGGTGCCAGCATCTGCTTCCAATCAAAGCAGAAGACAAAGGGGGAGCAGGCGAGTCACATGGTGAGAGAAGGAGCAGGAGAGAAGAGGGAGGTCCCCGTGCTCTCTAAACAACCTTTTCCCCTGTGAACTAACAAAGGAGAACTCACTTATTAACAGGGCAGCAAGCCATTCATGTGGGATCTGCCTTCATGACCCATATGCCTCCCACCAGACCCCACTTCCAACATTGGGGATCAACTTTCAACATGAAATTTGGGGGGGCCAAACATCCAAACTGTATCAGAGGAGAAGACACAGCTCTGTCCTGGGGTCCACCAGTGGCAGCCATTGGACCATGCACACAACTGAGTGCAAACGCATGTGGTGCAAACAGAGGCCAGATTAGGGAACCAGGACCAGGTGGGGCTGGTCAGAAACAGCCTCCTGGAGGCAGAGGGTTTTGACCTGAGTCTGAGTGGGGAGGGGAAACGTGAGTAGCAGCACCTCAACTCCCGCATTAATTATGATAAATGAGGGGTCTCTTTAGCGTGATCTGGAGTCAGGTAACTCCTACCTTTTCATTCAAGTCCAACTCGGGGATAAAGGGGAAGGTAGAGTCTTTAGATCTTAACTCCTCTAGTGGGTGGTGGGTGGGAAGTGATTCTTTAGATAAGTTCATTTCTCACATCAAGATGGCAACTTCCTAATGGTTCCTTGCTATTCATCAGGCTCTTTCTCAAGGGAATCCACATCTTGGGAGACCTTATCTTATCCCTCCCACCTCCAGGTTGGCCTGGGACTGAGAGATTTGGCCTGCAGAGGGAAGGAGGGAGGCTTTCAGGGCCTAGGAGGCAACTCAGGCCAGGGCTTCTTGATAAAGGCCCAGACTCAATCCCCATGCCCCAAGCCCTCCACACTACTGTTGCAAGCTAGGGTGGGAAATGGCCATCAGGGACTACTCTGGGCTGTCACCCAACTAACTCTTTCCAGAAGAATTAGGCAGGTCTGCACAGACATGATTTTTGGATTGCTTGTTGTTTGGGATTATCCGTACCTCTCTTTCTCTTGTCAGAGATAAACTCTTATGGAGCTGAATTGTATTCATGGAGTCCTAACAACTCCATGATGAAGGCTGATTTTAATTATTCCCCTGAGGAAGGCAGGGCTCAGGGTGTTCAGCTAACTTGCTAAGGGCATTTGGCTGGCAAGTGGTGCAGCTGATGGGAATCTAGTGACTTAAAATCCCACCATGTCTGGGCAGAAAATTGGAAGAGACCCTGGTGAGAAGCATTTATTTCCAGGGCTCTGAGCGGGCTGAGAGCGCGACAGCAGGAGCATGCTCACCTGTTCACCTCAGAGGGAGGCTGTTTGGTGCCACAGCCAGTGTGGGTGGCCATCCTGCTCACACAGCAGGCCACCTGTCACAAGGTTAGCACTAAAGGTAAAGCACAGAAAGTGAAGGGAGAAGGCCCTCTGCCTTCTGGAGGGCTTGGCACAGGTAGGAGCCATCCTGGATCTGGAGCCATGCTGGGGCCCAGCACCCAGGGACAGAGGCCGAGCGACACACTGCCCCAGAGTGCTGAAGGTCATGATTGTTTTGTGCTCTCCTTAAGCCAAATTCTGGGTAGAACTGGAGTAATCTCTGTTGACCATTTAATGGATGGCATCAGAGGCAGGAATAATCCCAAATCAGTAGATGACCCAAAATGCATGGCTAGTGGTGTTGGGGTATAGCTGAATCCACCCACCACACATCACACATACAGAATGTCCCTCCATGCTGTGCCTGGCCTCTGTCCCAATCCAGCAGGATGCCTGTAGCCTGGGGCCTGGCTAAGCTATCAAGGGGAGGGAGTCACAGAAAATATAGATAGACAGCTCATTGGCTCCCTCATTCATTCATTAACCCATTCATTCATTCATCAGAGCTTTTTTGGGCACCAACCAGGCACTGTGCTAGGTACTGGGAATTCAGAAATAAAAGAAAAGGTCCTGTCATCCATTCATTCTGAGTCTGATGGGGAAGACATGGAAATATATTATCACAGTATCATGTGAGAAGACCTATGGATTGGTGTGCCAGGGGCAATGGGAACAAAATTGCATCCAACAAGGGGTCAGGGAAGGCCTCCTGGAGGAAGTGAATCTGCCCTGGCTCAGTTTGAGCTAGCTAGGGAAAAAGGGAGATGGGTGGGGGAAGGTTTCTATGATGGAGGAGAAGCTCATGCAAAGACTCAGAGACACTAGAGCACGTGGGTCATTTGGGGGAACCGTGGGACTGTTTGGCACAGCTGGGGAGCCAGACGGGTGTTGGGCAGGGGCAGTGACAGATGAGCACCTGGATGCCATGCTAGAAGTTTGAAATTGACCTTGACTTTGAAGGGCTGTAGGCAGAGGAGCATCATAATTGGAGTTGTGTGTTATAAAGTTGCAGTGTGGAGAGTATGGGACATTCAACAGTCCTTATGGCCAAATCTAACCATCAGTGAGATCAGCTGTGCTTAAGGCAGATAAATCCAATGAGCGAATGTTTGAATGGGAGGCTGTTGATAGGGCTGGTCACGCGGGGACCTCTACCACCTCTGCCAGGCTCCCCGAGCACAGGCACAGTCTCTGTGCTGGACTGAGCTCAGCCAGGCCCTGGGTCAATGTCCCGCTTTGGCTCTTCTCCCCCTAGTTCCAGGAGCTGCAGCTGGCAGCTGGCCGACATGGGGATGACCTGAAATACACCAAGAACGAGATCTCAGAGCTGACCCGTCTCATCCAAAGGCTGCGCTCGGAGATTGAGAGTGTGAAAAAGCAGGTGAAGGGGGCTGGGGTGTCCCTGACGCAGTCCCAAGGGAGGGGTCAACAGCTTAGCACACCCCCGCCCTCCTCCTTCTCTGGGTCTCCGCCTCAGAACCCCCTTCCTCAATTGGAGCCCCTGCTAAGTCCCACGCGATTAGCTGCCATCAGAAGTCTGGAACAATCGCAGAGTCTTTTCATAAAGCCGGGGGCTCAGGCCTGCCAGTCGCAGGTTGACAGGGCTCCACGGCCATGGCTGTGGCTGGGTCTCTGCTCAGGAAGTGGGCAGGACTGGGGAGGGTCCAACCGCTGTGGGCATGTGGGGGGTGAAGTGAGGCCCTGCGTGCCTTAGAACACAGAGCAACTGCAGCCTCCCGACCTCAGTGCGCTAACCTGGAGACGGCCATTGCCGATGCCGAGCAGCGGGGCGACTGTGCCCTCAAGGACGCCCGCGCCAAGCTGGACGAGCTGGAGGCCGCCCTGCAGCAGGCCAAGGAGGAGCTGGCGCGGATGCTGCGCGAGTACCAGGAGCTCATGAGCGTGAAGCTGGCCCTGGACATCGAGATCGTCACCTACAGGAAGCTGCTGGAGGGCGAGGAGTGCAGGTGAGTGGAAGAACCTTTGTAATCCTCAGACTCAGAGTTTCCCAGAGTGTGGGGGCAGGCTGCTGGGGGGCACTGGAGTTGCCTTACACTTCACCCACAAGCATAGCCTTAAACAGCATCTAGCCAGATAAAGTGACAGCAATTTCCTTTACAGTCCTCCTTGGAAGAAAGTCTCAGCCTGGTGCTGTCCTGTCTTTAACACCTCTCAGACATTTGCGTACATCTCCTGTTAATAAAGAGACAGTAGATCTCAGGTTCAGAGTCTTTGGGCAGACAACAATATCTAGCCAAAAAAATTTAAATTGTTTTATTTTCATTATGTTTATTTTTTTCTGCTACTTTTTTTTCTTATTTGGTTAGGTAATAATACTGGTTTTCTATATACCCTGGTAATATAAAACTTCTGTTTAAGACAAATGCAATTTTGTCGTCAAAGGCTGAGTCAATTAAACACACTGAATACATGACAGTGTAAGCTGTACATGGTCATGGCAACACGTGGAAGGGTGGTACATGAAGCATGGACATCTGGAAAATCTTGTTCCAACCTAGCACCGTTTTATAACTGAGAACTACAGAGGAGCAGTTACTGGTCCCCACATCCTTGAGTTGGGGTTCATTAGTAGCTATGCCTGACCCTATCTTTCCACCCATGGATTCATTCAGGCAGCAGCTTCACAGGAGTAAAGAAATGGGGCCAAGAGGAACCCAGCAGGAGGGCGTGGGGGGTGGTGATGGTGCTGGGGGCTCCAAGGTCGAGGGTCCCCATCTCTGAAGGGGAAGGGTGGACACGGGAGGGAGAGGGAGGGCTCAGAGACACGCAGGGCAGCCAGTGCCGTCTGGCCAGCTGGAGGGGCACCTGGAGGTGGGTGATTCCTGGGCCCATGTTCAGGCGGTGGTGAGGGCCACTCTGGGAGTCTGTGTGACGAAGACTGTCCTGTGCTTTCTCTCTGTCCAGGATGTCCGGAGAATACACCAACTCTGTGAGCATTTGTGAGTATTTCATGCCTCTGAGGGATTAAATTAGTCCATCAACAAACACAGAGTGAGTAGGTGCCTACCACCAGGCCCCCATGGAGCAGCCTGGGCTCTGTCACATGGCCACTACCCTTGCCGAGACCCGAGGCCTCCCCAGTGGAGTCAGCTTCTGGCACATTCTGACATTGCACACTGGCCCCTTCCCCAGGGGTCTTGCGCTGGGATGAAATTCTCAGCCCCATCCCTTCTTCTGCCACCCTACCTGGCTTTCCTGTATGAAGGAAACTGAGCACAGAGTGAGACCTCTCCCCGACAGCCGACACCCGTGCACACACGTGGTGCCCCAGTCACCTTAATGCTGCCCCACAGCGCTCGGCTTGGTCTCTTAAGAGAGAGGCCAGCAAAAGGTCTCCTAGTTCACATAATCAGGAAATTCTTAAAAATAGAAAAACCCTCAGAATAGATTCTAAAGTTAAATGTCAGAACTTGTTGGCTTTCCTGCTGCCTGAGTATGATCTGCCTCTTGGGGGAAGCCCTTGCCACTCCTGTTAGTTCAGAGAGTGACAAGTGCCTGGTTTGGGGGCCCTGTGGGGTTGGGGCTGTTTTTCCTGGTGCTTAGGCTGCTCAAGTGAACCCAAGGTCATGGAGAAGTGTTTGCTTAGGAGGGAGGCATTTATGCTAGTTGGGGCTGGGAGGTTGAGGGGGACTTGGGGCCACCCCTATCCTGGGCACACAGTGACCGCTCCTCCCTCTCCTCCACAGCGGTCATCAACAGCTCTGCGCCTGGCACTATGGGCGCAGGGGCCGGCTTTGGGTTTGGCGGCGCTGGCACCTACAGCTACTGGCCCAGCTCGGTCGGGGGCTACGGCATGCTGTCTGGGGGCTGTGTCACTGGCAGCGGGAACTGTAGCCCCCGTGGGGAAGCCAAGACCAGGCTGGGGAGTGCAAGCGAATTCAAGGACTCCCAGGCAAAGACCGGAGCTCTGAGCTCATCCACCAAGAAAACCACGAGATAAAGGGGAAGACAGCCCATTTTCCAGCCTTCTGCCTCCCTTTGCTTTTCCCTAGACTCACTTCTCCAAGAAACTCCTCTGTTTCCCCATTTGCCACGATCTCCTTCTTGCTTTTCTTTGCCACTGACATCACTTCCTTCTTATTGCTCTTTGGCCTCTCCACTTCCATCTTTCTTAATGTAGAATCAGGATCCTAGACTGGAGCCATGTTTGGTGCCCGTCTTTCTGCTTCCATACAAAGAGACCCCTCAACTCAACTCAACTTCCCTTCCTGATGTCTCCTTGCAGAGGAAGGTTCTCTGGCCAGCATAACCACAATCTTCCCACTCCCCTTCCACACACTGGCTTGATGACCGTTGGGCTGTGTGCTCCTTGGCTACATGAGGTTTCAGGTCTACTCACAGGCCTATAAGAACTGTCTCCTGTTAGAGCAACACCAGCTCAGGCAAAACACCCAGAGATAGGTTGTATCTCACATGACCACTACACATCATTACGCAGCTGGGAGCACCCCTTGAGGCTGGTCCTTTCAACCAAGGGATCTGTGCTCTCAATCTGTGAGTTCTTGTCCTTCTGTAGGCCTAACCTGTCTGCTTCCTGTGTCTCGCCAATAAACTTATAAAATGGTGCAAGGTCAGGCTGCTTCTCTGTCCTAAGGGAGTCCTCATCTCAGGCCATGTCTCCTCTGCATGCGGAGTGGCCAATGGACAGGAACCTGCGGCATCTGAGGTCTGGAAGTGTCTTTTGATCTGAGTGAAAGAGGCCCTATTCAGCTGGAGGATCCCCCACCACTTCCACTGGACTTTGACACTCAGGGTTCACTCTTCCCCTGGACCCCCACAGATGTGCCTACTAAGTCACGCTTTTGTCAGGCCAATGGTCCAGTGAATGGGCAATCCCTATGCATATTCGGGTTACCAGCAGGGAGAAGGAGCCAACACTTGTCTAGTGGCAAGATTTAAAACTGGACAAGATCTGGGAGGCCGAGGCAGGTAGATAGCTCGAGGTCAGGAGTTTGAAACCAGCCTGAGCAAGAGTGAGACCCAGTCTCTACTATAAATAGAAAGAAATTAATTGGCCAACTAATATATATAGAAAAAAAATTAGCCAGGCATGGTGGTGCATGCCTGTAGTCCCAGCTACTCAGGAGGCTGAGGCAGGAGGATCACTTGAGCCCAGGAGTTTGAGGTTGCTGTGAGCTAGGCTGACGCCACGGCACTCACTCTAGCCTGGGCAACAAAGTGAGACTCTGTCTCACAAAACAAACAAACAAACAAACAAACAAACAAACAAACAAACAAAAAAAACAAAAAAACTGGACAAGAGGCAGCAGAAGGGTCAAGTTATGGCCGTGCCCTGTCCCTTGAGAAAAGGCCCAAAGGTAGATTCTCTTTGAAGTAATGACCCATGTTCTCTTGGTCTTTAGTAAAATTTCCACTGTGTTGAGTATGTATATATGTGTTTGTGTAAGTATGAGTGTGTGTGTAAGTATGGGGCCATCTGTGTTACACATACCATCTTGTCTTCAAAACACCCATATGCTCAGAGATTTCCCATCGGTTCCCAATCCATGATGATGCTATTAGGATGCAAAAGCAAGTGAGAGGCTAGCACACATTCAGGTTGAGGCTCCCACGTTGCATGCGAACAGGGTCCCGTGGATCCAGAGACAGTCCTACATTTGAAGTCAATAGCTTTGAATTCAGATTTAGACTCTACAAGCAACTTGTAATGATGTGCAAAGCTCTCAGCCCACTTGTGCCTCATTTCTTTAGCTACAAAATAGGAAGACTACCACCCCCAGATTGTTGTTAGGTTAAAATGAGACAACATGAGGATGTCTTATGCAATTCCTGGTACAAAGTTTGTATTTAATAAATGTTAGTGGAAAAAAAAAGCTTGTCTTCCATATTTTTGGTTCGGAAACTTGACTTAAGTAGCTTGCTGAAAGAGGTATGTAGCTGCTGGTAAAAAAATTCACAAAATACAAACTCAAAAGAGATCATCTTAGAAGCTATAGTGCTAGTTTGTTTATTTCCCAAAGGAGAACTGACTGGCAAAATAACTAGTGTCAGGAATGTACCATTAGGGTCAGTGCAGGAAGTTGGTTCGATGAATATTTATCAGGTATATACCATGTGCGTGGCAGGCGTTAGTGCTGGGGATACAGTGACCAAGAAACTTGGTCCAAACCCCTGCTGGAGACATAACGATAAAAAACGTAACTGCAATATGTGAGATATCAGCATGAAAAGAAGACACAGAGGCAGTGCAGAGGAGAGTGAGGGCCTTCAAGGAGGTCAAGGAAGGCTCACAGAGGAGGAGATGTATGGAGAGGTTTTAGAGCACGGATAGGAATTTACTAGGTGGACAAGAGTGGGAAGCGGGCTTTGTAGCCGAGGCACTGGCATGGTGAAAACAGGTTACTGTTGCTGGGGTGTGAAGTGTAAGGCTGGGGGAGGTTTAGGAAGTAGGGGGAGGGGCTGCAGCGGCACCTGGAGTTGGGGAGGCAGGCAGCAGGCAGGTCAGAGAGGCTGGTTCACGCCTGGTAAGAGCTGGGATTTTTATTCTTTAGAGTTTGAGGGAGAAGTTAATACCTTGGGTGACAGATGGGCCCTGAGTCAGGAGGACTCTGACACTTAATCTGTGTGACTTAGGCAAGACACTTCTGTTCCATAAGCCTCAGTTTCCTCATCTGTAATATGGGGTTAAAATAGTAGTTGCCTCACAAAGTTGCCATGAGAATTAAATCTAATGAAATAATGTAAGAGAATTATTAATTTCAGCACCTGGCACACAGAAAGTGCTCTGTGTATGGTTGCTCTTGTTATGACTGGGTATAGACTATTCTTTCAAGAACCGTAAGTGAGAAGGGTAGTAGAAAAGGTCTAACAGTGATCAGAAGATTGTTCGATGAGCATGAACTTAGGATAAAGAGCATTGGCTATTAAGAGATATTCCTGCCATCTAACTTCTATGCCTGGATCTATGTGATTAACACTGACTGCCTCAATGGACACATGCTGAAATCTGAGCAGCTTAACACGGCAGGGATTTATTTCTCACTCACAGTCCAAGGCAGGTTAGGGCAGCTGTCCTACATGGTTCTCCCAGAGGGTGTGTCAGGGACCTAGGCTCTTCTGTCTTGTGGCCCTGCCACATGGGACACAAGACCTCTAAGGTCACTGAGACAGGGGAAAAGAAATGGCGGGAGCACGGGGGCTGCTTACTGCCCTGTTGAAGGGACACCCTTTAATGCTACTCACATGTCCCAAGCCCCAACAGAACTGCAAAGCAGGCTGGGAAATGAGGAGCAGGGCGAGAATATTTGGTGAGCTTGACCATCTCTGGCATACCCTCCTTGCTCTAGATACCAATGCTGGTCACCGGCCAACCCTGGGCAATTGCCATGAACTAGGTCAGCCTGCATATTATATTTAGGTTTATTTGACATTTTTAGGGAGATATTGTAAGTCTGGTTGGATTTGGGAAAGTTAAGTCTATTTAGCGGTCAAGTGGAGATAACTTGTTCAGTGTTTCTTAAAGAATATTTCTTGAAACTCTGGTTCCCATAAGATATTTGGCCAAAAAGAGGGCTCTGTGGTCTAGAAAAGGTTTGGAAAATCTGAGTTTTATGTGTGGGTTTATTTGATTTTTTTTGACAACAGTATTTTTTTTTTTTTTTTTTACTAAAATCAGCCTTCTTACTTCTCTAGTTTTTTTTGGAAAATAAAACTTTATTTATAAAACATTATATGCTCATATTAAATAATCCAGAAATGTTAAAAATTGGGAAAAAACCCCATCATTCATAATCCTCCTCTTAGCCAACATGTGTGAAAAACATTAAGTTTTGTATCATCCTTTGGTATAGCAGAAAGCATTATGTGCTATTTTTGATTATTGTGGTTTAATAGCATCTATCCATCCATTCATCTATTTATTTATTTAATAGACTATTTTTAGAGCAGTTTTAGGTTTATGGCAAAATTGAGCAGAAGGTACAGAGATTTCTCATGTACCCCTGCGCCCACACATGCACAGCTTCCTAGTTATCAACATCCCCCGCCAGAGTGGCACATTTTTTACAATTGATGAACTTACGTTTGACTCATCATTATCACCCAAAGTCCCTAGTTTACATCAGGATTCACTCTTGGTGTTGTATATGCTATAAGTTTGCACAAATGTGTAATGATATGTATCCGCCATTATAGTACCATACAGAATAGTTCACTGCCCTAGCACTAAGCATGTTAGATCTAGAAAGTCCTGCAATAAGACAACTGCTTAATTTTTTTTTCTAACCCAGCACAGAATCCATCCCCACACTTTTTTCCCAAATGATACCTATTATTTTCCCAAGAACTAGAGTTGTAGGGCAAAAGAGACCTGGTGTGACCAGCAACACATTTGTAAGTCCTGGCTTAGAGTGGTTTCATCCATCTTTTGTTGTAGACATCTGGTTTCAAAGGGCCATATTCCTGGACTAGTCTACCAATGGAGGGGTTGCTTTAACCCCAAAACTAATGAAAGACATGGTCACCAGGGCCTGAGGTGACACTGTAAGCTGCTGCCTGAGGCAGGGGCAGTGAGAACCCCTCCTCCCAGGCCTCTGGCACCTTTGATCTGCTCACATCCTCACACGTCTGGGGCCTCTGAAATCTGCGTGTGTCACTTCTGTCTCTCCATGATCTGCGATAAAGGTGATCCAGGGGTTGAGGAATTCCTGATTCATCCAGGCAATCAATCCCTCCTGGGAAGATAAGAAAAGGTCATCTTACCTGTTTCCTCACCCTGGGCAGAAGAACCCTGGTCCCAGAGGGATGGGTGTCTCAGCTCCCGACAGTTTCCAGAGAAAAGGTGATTTCAAAGACACTATTTGTAAGACAATTCTAGGAAAGGATTCTCCATTTTAAATTTAAATACTTTTCTTGCATTTCTATTCTCAATGGCCAGAATTAATAAACTCTTTCCTGTGTTTGTGGGGAAAAAAACTGGATAAAATGATGGAGCAGACAGAAGGAAAAATCTCATGAAAGAATAAAAAGCATAACCTTGAGCTTCTGACAGGGCCTGCTTGTCACCTGGCCATACTGGCATTGCCCCTCCCCTCTGCAGAGGGAGTGGATGGCAGTCCCTCCTCTGAGGCAGCACCGAGAGTCCACCCTCTTCCCCACCCAGGACACCCTAGACACCGCTATCTGTTCATCTGTGTCCGGCGCCATTGCCACCACTCACCACTGCCCTCGAGACTTTGTTCCCCATGGGGCAAACACCTTGGCTGTTATTATGCTCTGTGACTGGCCGGTGGAGGCCGTGTCAGCCAATTACCCCCTGGGTACCATTTGGCTGCCCCTTGAGGTCCCCAAGGGGAGCCCAGGCTCCAGGGTACAACTGGGAGCACTGTCTGTTTCACAATCATCCTGACGTCCCTGGTGCCACGGCCTGGGCTGAGCGCTGGGGGGGGCAGGGCAGGGCAGGGCTAGTCCAGGGGCCTGTCAGTCTGACGGAGGAAGCGGGACACACCCCCCGGATTCAGCCAGACTGAGAAATAAGAGCAATGAAACAATCCCACCTGGGTGCCAGAGCAACAGCAGGGCTGTTTCTGAGAGAAGACTTGAAAACTACTTAAGTTGGAGAAAAGGAAATTGGATGGAGAGATGTCGTAGAAAGATCCTCCAGAGCTTGGAACCTAGTTCCTGGTTTCAGATGTGAGGAGTCTTCCCTGGCCCTCTTGACCTGTTCCTGATAATGGGTCACATTTTGATGCTGAACTGGTGATGACAGGGCAGCAAATGTCCTGTTCAGAGGTTTCTCGGGTTGAATAAATGAGCCTCTTTTGCTATTAAAAGAAAACAAAAGCAAAAACAACCAAAAACCTTAGGAAAGATCATCTTCCAAACCACACCTAAAACCTTCCTGTGTCACCTCTCCAGCCTTCTCCCCTCCTTCCCAGCTAGTCTCTCTCCCACTCTTAGTCCAGAAACATTTTTCTGGAGAAACCTTTTCGCTGTGGCCCAAAGTCATCTGCTAGCACTTGTAACCAGAGGTCTCACTGGCCTTAAGTCTGTCATTGTGTCCTGCTTCCCCCAAGAGACTGAGAGCCCTGCAGATGCGGCCAGTTCTCCTCCCTCTGAGCTTCCTTCTTGGCACACTGGGCAGAGCTACCCTCATTGAGAAGCCTGGGGAGGCAGGAAGGGGACAGGCTAAGGATGGATCTCTGGAATACTCTTGACCCTGCTCATGTCTTTCTGAAACAGAGCCAGCCTGGACTCCTGCTCCACACACTCCCTCCCCAGACACGGCCAGAGGGGCCCGACCCACTGCAAGTTTCCACCAGGGATCCTGGCAGCGATAACCCCAGTAATTGCAGGGCAGCAGGTGGAGATAAGGTGGCCAAATTATTATAATGCAGGAGGTAAGCAAGGCAAATGCTGGGTTCTGGGCCATTTTATAGGGAGTCTGGGGAGTTCAGGGAGGAAGAGACAAAAATCTTGGAGAGTGGATGGTAATTTCCCGAATGAAGAGCCCAAGAGGCCCCAAGTGATCTAAAAGGTGTTCCCGACATGCAAATTATGCTGACTGCAGCCCAGCGCCCAGCCTATTTAAGGGGTGAGCAGGCCGGAGGGTGCACCGCCCTCTGCGCCCCTCTCCAGCCTCCCGCACAGCGCCCGCGCCCGTCGTCGCCTGCGCCAGCCATGAGCCGCCAGTTGGCCCACTATGCCGGCGGGGAGCGCCCGGGCTTCAGCGGCTGCTCGGCGGTGCTCTCGGGCCGCCTCAGCTGCAGCTCTGCCTCCTTCAGGGCCGGGGTCAAGGGCTCGGCGGCCTTCGGCAGCAAGAGCGTCTTCTGCCTGGGGGGCGGCCGGCGCCTGGCGCTCAGCGCGGCGGGGCGGAGCGGTGGCCGCCTGGGCGGCTTCGTGGGCACCGTCTTCGGCAGCGCTGGGCTGGGGCCTGCGTGTCCGTCCGTGTGCCCGCCGGGGGGCATCCCTCAGGTCACTGTCAACAAGAGCCTCCTGGCACCCCTCAACGTGGAGCTGGACCCTGAAATCCAGAAGGTGCGCGCCCAGGAGCGGGAGCAGATCAAGGCTCTGAACAATAAGTTCGCCTCCTTCATCGACAAGGTGGGTCTCCAGTATCTGCCTGTCCCTGCGTTGGCGCCCAGTGTGTGCATTGGTGCCTGGATGTGCCACGGACCAGCTGTGAGGCCCCCTTTCCTCATCTGTTACCTCAGTCACGGTTCTTACCCTAGTGAGTTGTGACAAGGATTAATTGATATATTTACAAAGTGCTTAGAATAGTGCCTGGCACTCCTTTCCGAAAACGGGACCTTCATTCCTTCCTTGTGAGCCCAGAGCTGGGAAGGGAGGGGGTGTCTGGGGCTGGAGACCTGCAGAATGGGCCCTTTGAGGGCTCCCCATATCAGGCGAGGGGATGGAGGAGGCACATGGTCAGCACAGGGCACTAGAGGGACACAGGACAGGGAATGTCACAGGGCACGGTGCTTGGTGAATGGGGAAGGACTTGGGAGTTAGGAAGTGGATAAGTATGTAAATCAGGAAGATGAGAAAATTGGAGGCTGAGGCTTAGGGGGGGAGGTTGCAAATAGGACATGTCTAGTTCCATGTGTGCTTGGGGGGTGTCCAGAAATTGGGGTAATAGGGAAGATGTCTCTGGAGATTCCGAGGCAGTGACCCCAGGGTATGGGGAGGAGACAAGGCATGGGCTTCTCTTGTCTCCACCTGGGCACAGGTCTAGACCATGAGTGACAAGGGGATATATTAATAACAGTAGTTGACATTATGAAGGTATCTCTCAACACCTGGTGCTGTCCGACTCATTCTCACTTACCAATGCACAGCCCCTGATTCTGTTATGACTCTGCCTTGCAGGTGAGGAGCCTGAGAATAGGGAGGCTAGGAAATGTGCCCATGTCGATAGGACTGTTGATAATGGATGGTGTGACTCGCCACCGTGCTAGGGAAGAAGAAGTGAGGTGGCTGGAAGGGAGCAGGCATGAGTGGAAGAAACACAGTACCTGTTCCAGAAGACAGGGGCTTTCTCTTCCTCCCACTAAGTCTCTTGTTCCCTAGCATGTTTCCTTCTGTCCTTCAAGCTAAGAGAGGTGAGAAGAGGAATGCTTGTGGGTAGCAGATAGCCTGAAATTAGTTCGTCCAAGAACGTCAAACCTTTGGTCAAACTGAGAAGGGGTGACAACCTGCTTTGAACAACAAATAAACATTCCAAGAGCGATTTAGGCTGTGTAACAGAAAGAACATCCTAACATAGCCAGCATGACTTTCCAAAGTCATTCCCCAGGCACTGTTTCTCCCGGGCTTCCCATTGTTCTTTGCTCAGAAAACTAGCATTTATAGCAAGGAAGCTGCTGTAGCCCCCTGAAACTCACAGAGGCAGAGGCAGAGGCAGAGGCAGATGATATCCACTTAATCCCAGTTCTTGGTTTCTTTTAGACTGGATCTTAGTTCTTGTTGGAGACCCAGGTGAGCATGTCCCCCTGGCTGCATCCGCTCTCTGATGAGCCTTGCTCCTTCCTGCCCCCACTCCCCAGGATGGCTGTTTCTCATTTCTGGGGCCCTCTCCTCACTTTTGAGAGCCAACAGCATGAGTACTCTCAGCCATGACCACCTTTGGGTTCCAGGTGCGGTTCCTGGAGCAGCAGAACCAGGTGCTGGAGACCAAATGGAACCTCCTGCAGCAGCTGGACCTGAACAACTGCAGGAACAACCTGGAGCCCATTTACGAGGGCTACGTCAGCAACCTGCGCAAGCAGCTGGAGACGCTGTCCGGGGACAGAGTGAGGCTGGACTCAGAGCTGAGGAACATGCAGGATTTGGTGGAGGACTACAAAAAGAGGTGAGTGGGAAGCAGAGAATATGCCCCTGGAGGGTCTGATCACAGAGGAGGTTTTGATTTGGAGCCAGCATTTTTGCCTTTGCTGATACCATTGCTATTTCCTTTCCCAGGGGGGAGGGAGGGGCATCCAGACAGAATGGGATTTAGGAAGAGAATAGATTAAATGGTGCTTTGATTTGCCTAGGAAATGGGTGCTCAATTTCTAGCACTAAAAATGGAGGAATGGGGGAAAGAGAAGTATCTCAAAACCAGATGGACAACCCAATAGTTCCTCCTGAGTGAGGTTTTCTGTGGAAGTTCCCAGAATGTCAGACACCTTGCTAATGCCAGAACAAAATTTAAAGCCAAGCAAAAATGAATTTTTAAAACTTATTCCATGTTGAAGCATATCTGTGCTGCTGAATCCTACCTTTAAAGAGAATAATTGAGAATGTGTTTGGAACCAGAGATTGTGTCTTCCTCCAAGTTCAGCCAAATATGAGAGAGTAATAAATCTGGGCTCAGAGTGAGCAGATATTCTAGGAGTTTGCTTCCAGCTGCCAGGATTTCTAGGGATAGATGACTTCTTCCACAGTTGAATGGGTGGAGTTGGTGAGACCTGAGTTCTCTCTCTTGCTCCACATTCAACCTGTCTGTCCCTTCCTATTCTGAAGTCCCCGCAAAGCAGAACCCTTACCTGAGCCCCACGTGGGGATCCTGAGGGAGGAGGAGACACGGTCAGCACAGATATGTGCTATCTGACCTCAGATAACGCACAGATTTTGGGGACAAGCTTAAAGAGCAGTTTCAGATAGCTGCCAATAAGTGGAAATGAATACAATGTGAACTGAGATCCAGCGAAATTAAGATGGGAATTGGAGCTCCAGTGGAGTGAGCAGGGTCTGGAAAGAACAGCGGCTGCCAGGCACAGTCCAGAGGCTCAGGGCACAGGCATGCAGAGGGGAAGGGCTCGGTGCTCTGGAATTGTCACTTACTAGGTGAGCAGCCATAGGTGAACTCTTGATCCTCTGTGAACTTCAGCTTTAATGTTTACAAAAATTAAATATCGATACCTGCCTTGCTACTGAAAAGAACTGTTGAAAGGATAATGCCAGATAGTAATGTATTAACAGCTTTTAGAAGAATCAAAGGGCTATACAAAGGTAAGGCATCATATCCCTGCTGTCTGAGTCTTAGATTTGAATCCCAGCTTCACTGATAACTAGCATTATGACTTTGGCCAAATATTTCAATGTCTTTTGCCTCATTTATAAAATTGGGATAATAATAGAACCTACCTCATAGGACTGTTGTAGAGATTAAATGAAATAATGTATGTGAAGAATCAGCACAATGGTTAGCATGTAATAAGAAGTAAAAAAAATATTAGCTGCATTTATTATGATTATTTTAAAATTCATTTTATCAACCATATCTTCCACCTATGAGTCCTCATGCAGCTTTTCTTGTACCTCTCTTATGATATAATATATTATGCCATAATATATGTACCTCCCTTATATAATAGCATAAGAGATCTGCATCATTAATTTAGTTTGATCATAATTTGATCATCCTTAAATTAGAATTCTCAGTACATTTGCCTTCCTGTTAAACTGTGAGTTTCTAGAAGACACACACAGTGTATCTCAAACATCATTGTATATCCTAAAGTTTTTCTCATAGATCCTCTAAAATAATTTTTTAAATTCCTCACAATTAAATAATTTCACAATTAAAATTAACATCTAAAATTTTTTATCATAAATTTAAGTAGTTGCAAAGTAATTGCAAAGTTGGTAATTTCAGGCATATTATGTATATTGTCATTTGAAGTTATAATAGCTATGTTACTCATTTAAATGTATTCAGTTACACGTAGGTGCCATAGCAGGTTAGTATCCATCATCTTTTATCTAAAAAGTCTATCTTTAATGAACAAGCTCTGCTTTAAAAATCACAAATTTTACCTTGATCCTTTCCCCATTTGAAATAAAATTTTCATGCCACTTTTCCCATATAATTTTATTCCAATGTAATATATTTTTTATGCCTCTAAGTCTTTTGCTGATCACCCTAGCTACCACAAGATATGAATGTATCTTTAAATTTTAGAGAGTTTACATGTTGACAGCATATGTTTTTAAATGTTTAAAGATTCATTCTGGGTTGAGTTATCCAAACAACAAAATGTGTTACTAGTTTTGTTAAGTAAGTATTAAACAAAAAGAATACAAAATAATTTTGAAAATGCATTTCTTAATGCATGGAATGGGGCAGATTTTTTTCCAGCTGGCTTAGTTATCCATGCATGAATATTGATTCTTGTTACAATGAGATAATATTCTAGTCCCGTGTTTTTTTGTTTTTTTTTTTTATTCTTAGGTAAGTGCTGGGAAAATTTACTCATATAAATAGATTTTAATGGAAGGAGTTTTGCAAGGGTGGTGTTATTCAGTTTTCTGAATGCCTGCCCAGTTTTTCTGTTTGTTTCTTTTTTCCATAGCACCTGTTGTTTTCTGACATACTGTATAATTGATTTATTTGTGGTGTTTGTTGTTTGCCTCTCTCTGCTCCATAAGGGCAGGGATATTTATTTGTCTTATTCGCTTGCTCATCTCAACTTCCTACAAAGTACCCCACCCTTAACATATACTTCCGTAGGTGAATTACGTGTCAAAATCACATAATGACTTATCATTAAATATCATTTTTAATAATCTGTAATCTGACAGTTCAGGTCCTTCTTTGTTTTTTTTGAAAGCAAAATTACAAACCATCTGACTTACAGAAAGGATTTGTTTCCTAGTCAACACAGGCAAACCTTCCAAATTTCTGGAAAATTTTTCAATAAAGTTTTATGAAGACTGATCAAATGACCACTGAGGATACAACTTACTCTGTCCCTTAGGGGGCACCATGTTTAATCCAATCAGAAAGAACAGGGAACATAAAAACATTGTTAGTATTCAGTACACATTTACTAATTCTTTATTTTAAAAAAAATAATGTGATTCTATCCCATGTTTTTATATATGTGTACACACACATACACACACTCATACACACACAGATACGAACTTTTCAAACTTTGGAGCTGCAGATTTTGCTCATTCAATTTATAGAAAATATCTACTATCTAGCTTACTGGACAAACCAGTTTTCATGATCATACTAGAGAAATGAGTTCCTTTTGGTTAGAAAAATTCTGACTCCATTTCTAAATTCAAATGAAAGTATAAATAGGTACTTTAGGGCCTATTATAAAATCCACTAAGCAATAAATTAAGGAATATATCTTGTACAGTATATTACTAAAAGCATTCATGATTAAAATGATATAGATTTAATATAAGTAATACATCTGTTATAAAACAAGATAAATCAATGTGTACTTACTCATAATTTTATTCATTATAATGTATTTTTTAAATTATAAGTTATTTATAAAGTCAATAGTGCTATAATAGCATTGTTTTTCTTTGTAATTGTGTGTGTATATATATATTGAACTCTAGTGTTTGATCTCTACAGGTAAAAATATAAAATTATTTGTAACTAATGTCATTGATTTTGATAGCTCTCTTGATCAAACATTTTCTATGTATTTCGGGAAATAGAAAAATATAATCTACTAAAAACTAATTGGTCTGGCAACTAGCATATGCTTTTATTTTTATTAAGAGAAGGTAGACATTATTAAACATTTTATAAGATAGTATGAGATAAAGATTGACTGTAATAGAAATAACTATTTCATGACATAATTTGATGAAAAGGTTTCAATTCTTTTGAATAACACAAAGAATCTGAGATAAATCATATGAACTGTGTTCTGTGTGTTTTATCCAGTGTAACCAGAAACATCTGGCAGTCTTGGAAAATTTTCTATTCACACTTTAGCAATTCACTTCACTAACCTGTGCTGCTGTGCGTTAGCCACTCAGCAGGGCTTTCTGGTGGGCAGGGGGCTGCCAGGTACACGCCTTAGGAATGAGTAAAGAGTTGAAAAGAATTGCTTATGTTAAATACATAGAAAAAAAGCTATTTTCTAGCATTGATTATTTATTGTTTTCCATTTTTATTGTAGTTAAATACATGTAACATAAAATTTATCATCTTCCCCGTTTTTAAGTATACAGCTCAGTGGTATTAAATACATTTATAATATTGTACAACCATCACCGCTATCTATCTCCATAGCTCTTTTCATCTTGGGACGTTGAAACTCTACACCGGTTAAACACTAACTCTGCCTTTCCCCCTCCCCCCACGACCAGCATTCTACTCTCTGTCTCTATGAAGTTGACTACTCTGAGTACCTTGTGTAAGTGGAATCACACAACATTTGTGTTTTTGTGACTGGCTTACTTCACTTAGCATAATGTCCTCAAGGTTCATCCATATTGTATCACACTGCAGAATTTCCTTTCTTTTTAAGTCTGAATAATATTCCGTTGTATGTATATATATTTACCACGTTTTGGTTATCCATTTAGCATTAACTATTTCTTACCAATGTGCTACTTTGTTTGCTCTCACAAATGTTTTGTGATACATTCTTTGACAGTAGTAAGGGATAGAAGAGGGGAGCTCTTTAAATAAAAGGATCAATACTCTCACCTCCCCAGTCTACACTATATCTGTATTAAGGACATCCCTGGCCCATTCAAACCTCTGTTTCTTAGACCTTGCTTCATCTGGGGCAGGAATATGTAGAAGAAACCGGTGTAACATACAGTTTGAAGACAAGAATAGTGCTTTTGTTTGGTACCTGGGAGGTTTTTGCACCCTGAACCATTGCACCATATTAAGATGCCACATGGCAGAGGAGGATGCCTTTCTGCTATGACATGGGAGGGGCTGTGACAAGGAGGTGGGCAGTAGAATCTGCATGACGTTTGACCACAGGTGCTTTCTGAGGCAGATACATTTTAGGACAGATTGCACAGGAACTAAGGAGCTGGAAATAGATTTCTTTAAATCTGTCCTTGCCCCCATTTCCTTTAGGAAGGTTATATGTGCCCCAGGGGTACATGCATTTCAGTTTGAAGACCCCCACCCTGCAGCTCTTGACACAGAGGTGATCACTAACTGCTCAGTGAGTGTTTACAGAACTGAATTACCCCAATGTCTTGCCCTATGCAGGTACGATGTGGAGATTAACAGGCGCACAGCGGCTGAGAATGAGTTCGTGGTGCTCAAGAAGGTGAGAGGTGGCAGGAGAGCTGGAAGAAGCCTAGAGGGCTCCTGACTGCCTGACACAGTGATGTTTGTAGGCTGAGGAAAGGGACCCTGTGGACTGCTCATCCCCCGGGCAGGAGCGACGGGGTTTCTAACTTCCCAACTCTCCTTGTGAGGATGCCGCTCCCAGATTGCCAGCTTAAATCCAGGCACTTGGTGTGGCCCTTGCATGGCACATCAGTTGGTTTGCTCTCAGGGACGGAGCCCCATGAAGCATGTGTGGGGTGAGGAGACTGCAGAGAGCTGGGACTGGGGCTCCCTGTGGCAGGAAGGGCAGTGAAGGGAAGGCAGCTGGCTCCTCTCGGGGCAGCCTGACCGTCATGTGTTCCCAGGATGTGGACGCCGCCTACATGAACAAGATTGAGCTCCAGGCCAAGGTGGACTCCTTGACAGACGAGATTAAATTCTCAAGTGCCTCTATGAAGGGGTAAGGCTTCGCTCACTTCTCTTGCGAGTCTGCTCCTCTTGCGAGTGGCTTTGGCCCTTGGCCTGGATGGATGTGTGGCCCAAGGGTTGGGAGGGAGAAGCCTTTCGGCCCAGTGCAGCTGACATTCATGGAGGCCCTGCTGGGTGCTGCAAAGTGAGCTAGGCTTTGAGGGACCACGAAGGAGAAGAAATGATTCCTGTCTTCACAACCTGGCAGGAAGAGCACCATAGAGCTGGAGCTTTGGGGAAGCAGAGGAGGAATGGTGAATTCTGCCAGGCCATCAGGAAAGGTTCCTGGAAAAAGAGGGGGGAGAGGAGGAAAAGATTTCAGGGGGTTGAGAAGGGCAGAAAGTGAAGATCCAGGAGCTGTACTGTGCTAAAGCACTGGGCACATGGAAGGGGACAGAGGCCTTCCACAGAGGAGGGGGGAGGTGGCTGGTGACTATAGAGGCTCAGTGTGCCATGTAGGGAGTTCAGACTTGATGCTGTGGGGCAGGGTGGCCATTGCTGGTTTGGGGACCAGAATGCATTTAATAGAAGGGATAGGAGCTGTCCTGAGTCCTGATGGACAAGAGGGTCTCACTATTCAAGGTTGGGAGCACAAGGTGCTCATTCAGATGCCTGGCAGGCACTGATGCTAAAGCAGAGTTCAAATGCCAGGGAAGGACAGAAAGGGGCAGTGAGAAATTTTCCCAGGGAGGATCAGGAGAAGCGTTCCTCATGGGACCCCTAACTGGCTCCTCTCCTCCAACTTCCCCAGGAGATCACTCAGATCCAGTCCACATCAGTGACACATCTGTCATCCTGTCCATGGACAATAACCGGACCTGGACCTGGACAGCATCATCGCTGAGGTCCGCGCCCAGTATGAGGACTCGCCTTGAAAACGGCGAGGCGAGGCGCTGTACAGACCAAGGTGGGCTGGGGCCAGGTGTGCTGAGGCCAGTGATCACAGCCCCTCTTCCTCCTTTGCTGGTGCCTGCACTGTGTGAACATGGAGAATGGCATGTGGTCACCCTGTCTGTTCTAAGTCC